GGGGAGAGAGGGGGGAGTGGGGACAGAGGTGGGGAGTGGGGAGAGAGGGGTGGAGTGGGGAGAGAGGGGTGGAGAGAGAGGGGTAGAAAGGAGGAGGAGTGGGAGAGATGGGTGGAGAGAGATGGGTAGAAAGGAGGAAGGGTGGGAGAGAGGGGCGGAGAGATGGGGTGGAGGAGGGGCAGTGGGGGAGAGGGGGGCCGAGAGGGCAGGGGTGGGAAAGAGGGGTGGAGAGAGGGTGAGGAGAGAGGGGGGCAGAGACATAGAGAGAGGGTGGGCAGAGGCATAGAGAGAAGGGGATCAGAGACATAGAGAGAGAGGGGGAGAGAGAGAGAGGGAAGAGAGGGGTGTGGGGGCAGTGGGGAAAATGGGTGGGAGAGAGAGAAAGAGAGGGGAAAGAAAGAAGGAGGAGGAGAGACAGGGAGAGAGAGAGAAGGATGGCGGGTGGAGAGAGAGAGAGAGGAGGGTGAAAGGGAGTGAGGAGGAAAAAGAGAGGGTGGAGGGAGAGACAGAGGGGGAGGTGAGGAGAGGTGAGGAGAGGTGGGGAGAGAGGGTGGGCAGAGAGTGAGGGGGAGAGACAAAATGGGAGTAATGGAAAGAGGGAGGTTGGTAGTGAGGAGGGCAGGAGAGCGAGAGTGGGACAGCAGGGGGAGAGAGAGGGAGAGAGAGTGGGACAGCAGGGGGAGAGAGAGAGTGGGACAGCGGGGGGAGAGAGAGGGAGAGAAGGAGGATAGGGGAGAAGAGGAGAGAGAAAGAGAGGAGGGAGAGAGAGGAAAGACAGAGAGGAGGAAAGAAAGAGGGAGAGAGGGAGGGACAGAGGGGAGACAGACAAAGACAGAGGGGGAAGATGGAGAGAGAGAGAAAGAAATGAGACAAGATCACTTTCAGACAAACACCATTCTGAAGGGGCTCGACTGGGTTGTCCCTGAGCGGTTGTGTCCCCCTGGGGGGTGGGGGGGAGGGTGTGAGTGGATATCTAGAACACTGGAGAGGGGTGGGGAACAGACTCAGGATGAGGGTCAATTGTTTGGGACTGAGATGAGGAGGAATTACTTCACTAGGAGTAGGATGTTCCTGGATACAGAGGATTGCAGAATTGAATGTATTGAAGGCTGTGACAGACAGAATCTGGGAATACAGTCACTTCCACATCCATAGTCAGACACTGGGAAGTGCAGGGATAGTCAGGAACGGCAGGAGAGTTTTTCTAAAAACTATTACCAAACGGTTTGACCTGTTGATGGATGGAGTGTCTTTACCTGGAGAATGTGACACTTATTATCCTGAGAGGATGCAGGAACACTGTGAGGGAACATTAAGGAAATGTAGCCTGTTAGACCACCGAATCCCTATCCCCACCATCATCCTAACGGATCCAGCCTCTCTTCAGATGAGATAACAAGGTGTAGAGCTGGATGAACACAGCAGGCCAAGCAGCATCATAGGAGCAGGAAAGCTGACGTTTCGGGCCTAGACAGTCCTGCCATCCCAGGAATCATCATGGGAAACCTTTGTTGCTCTCCCTCTTTACAAGGAAATCCTTCCTCAGTCGGGGTGAGCAGGAAGGGAGCCAAACTCCAGGAATGAGTGAATGAGACCCAGCCATGATTTCTCTGTGACAGGTTAAAACTCAGGGAGAAAATGGGATAATGATAGCTTTTCCTGAATTCTCCTTGTGCCACTACAGGAATTTGCAGCCTTTGATTTGGGATTGTCGCTCCTAAATACCTAATGAGCCAGTGATCAGCCCCATACGTTTTCAGTTTTAAATCTGGTTCACACACCACAGATTCCAACCTGTGATTACTCGTTCCCAATACACATACTCCCAGTCAGGTACTCGGCCAATTATACCTTACTGAATGCTTAATTATCCTGACGTTAATTTGATCTCATGGATCTCAGCCACAGCTTGCGAGGTTCCTGATGGGATCGGTCAACTCACTTTGAGTAACACCAACATTATGGGCTCAATTCCCACTCACACTGACCCTCAGGTTAAACCACCACCCGCGGCCGGCGAAACCTTACCTTTACTCGATAATAGTGAAACCTCACTCCTCCATTCCACCCCCGATCTTCAAAGCCCACATTTTCTCCACTCTCCTTGCACCCTTCACCCCCTCCAAACCCAACTCCTGGCACCAGGAGTAACCAGGGGCCGAAACGTGCCTGTTCTGCCTGCTGGGCCAGCCCCAAGGGAGGGGGAAGGGTTGAGGGTGGGGGTGGGGCTGGAGGTAGGTGGACACCCCCCCCCCTCTCCGGTTGAGCCAATGCTCCAGTGCATTCACAATGTGGGACAGTCCTTTCTAATGGGTCAGGGGGTTAGATTGGAGTATAGGGGTTAGAGAGAGGGGTGGGGGTTAGAGAGGGGTGTTGGGGTTAGATTGGAGTATAGGAATTAGAGAGGAGGGTGGGGGTTAGATTGGAGTATAGGGGTTAGAGAGGGGAGTGAGGGTTAGATTGGAGTATTGGGGTTAGAGAGGTGGGTGGGGGTTAGAGAGGGAGATGGGGGTTACAGACGTGAGTGGGGGTTACAGACGGGAGTGGGGGTTAGAGAGGGGTGATGGGGTTGGACAGCGGGATGGGGTTAGAAAGGGCTGTAGGGTTAAACAGACGGATGAGGGTTAGAGAGGAGGATGGGGTTTGAGAGGGGATGGGGGTTAAAGAGGGGATGGGGGTTAGAGAGGAGGATGGGGGTTAGAGAGTGGAATGCGGGTTACAGAGGGGTTTTTGGGTTAGAGAGGGGGATGGGGGTTACAGAGGGTTTTAGGGGTTAGAGTGGGGGATGGGATTAGAGACAGGCATGTGAATTACAGATGGGGATGGGGGTTAGAGAGGGGTATGGGGTTTACAGAGGGGGATGGGGGTTAGAAAGGGTGTTGGGTGTTAGAGTTGGAGATGGGGTCAAAGAGGCAGATGGGGGTTACAGAGGGCGATGGGGGTTAGAGAGGGGAATGGGGGTTAGAGAGGGGAATGGAAGTTAGACAGGAGGATGGAGGTTAGAGAGGGGAATGGGGGTTAGAGAGGGTGTTGGGGGTTAGAGTGGGAGATGGGGTCAAAGAGGAGGATGGGGATTAGAGGGGGGATGGGGTTTAGAGAGGGGAATGGGGGTAAGAGAGGGGAATGGGAGTTAGAGAGGAGGGTGGGGGTTACAGAGGGGGATGGTGTTTAGAGAGGGTGTTGGGGGTTAGAGTGGGAGATGGGGTCAAAGAGGCGGATGGGGGTTAGAGAGGCGGATGGGGGTTAGAGA